TTAGCCGAAATAAAATCCATAGCTTTACAGAAATTCTTAGGTTTTGTTAACTTAAGGGCTTGTTATAAAGACATTTATAGGAAACTGGCTGCTGTGCAACGTGTTGTGGGTTCGCTTCCCGCACGGAACAACACTTTGTGTGATTTGTGATTTTTTTTTTATCTGGTTGGCTTGTGTATGTGAATTTGTATGTTTGTAAACGCACGCACAACACAGGAGAAAATAATAGTGTGGGGCAAGGTTACTATAAATAAAAATTAATTCATTTTAGTGTCTATTTTAATATTATAAGAGTGTCTACAAAATAATTAGGTACTTGACAACTAGACAAATTCCATACTCCTTTTGAATCGACACAGCCGCCATTTTTTGTATTGTATTTGACTATGAAAACTACCTAATAATATGTAAAACTAAATACAAAGTTATTATATAATGATAATAACTGCAGCGAACAACGAGCCGCTTGAGAATCTCGAGCGTGAATTGCAGTGGAACAAATGAGCTGAGGCGTCGACATCTTCACCACGTAATATTTTACAGGATTCCTGTCTGCCTTGTCACTGTATCAAACACCATGTACCAAGGTTGTAAGGGAAATATAAATAGAAATTCTAATTAGTAATATTATTCTGTGTGCAAGTCTCAAAAGTTGAGCCGGGGTTGCGTGGTAAATGCAATAAGGCATCGCGCTCTCGGCCTAAAGCTGGAAAAGGAACGGGGGAGTTTTTAGTCAGTAAGAGTCTGACACTCCCTCTCGCCTCACCCTGGGCGGGAGAAGTCATTTGATGATTTCCCTTTCTTCGGCATTTGGTGCTTAGAAATGACAATAATTATGTATGTATTAGCTTTTATAAGCGAAAATTATTATTAAATAATGGCATATAGCATAACCTTCAAAATTTACCATGTTGTGTTTAAATTATAAAAAGTACCAATTTCATTAAAAAATTTTGGTACAATGTCTATAATTGAGTTTTCGCCAGTAGACTATTTGCTCAAACATCTTAAAATCAAAGATATATATTTATAAAATTCCTATAACTAATTTTTTTTTATTTTATCTAAATGTTTAATGGATGAAAAATATAACAAAGTACATGAAATCAAGTGACTAAATTAATTGCTCTCAGCAACTTTTGAGCTTAACACACACAGTTATTTTCAGACCGTTTTTGAAGCAATAAATATTTCCCACACAGCCTTACACAAAAAAAAATATTGTTTGCAATAGTACTAACATTAATTTTATTTTCCACTTAAAATACCAAGTAAATAAATGTCAAGTATATTGTAAACTGAAACTATTCGCAGACAGTACCACTTCAACGTTTCCACTTCTTTTGGATATTTTACAAGTATAGACATATCTTTACAATGTTTTACCAATCAGTTTAAACTAATAGTATTTTTATACGGAAAATACATTGTAAAATGTCCATACCCGCACTAAAGCTTACTAACTGGTAACGTTAGCACCAGAATCTAACAAAATTCTAATGCAAACAATCTCTTTCCACAGATACGTTCAAGGGGAGATCTTCAGGCGGGGAATACGCCACTTTCTCCCTCGAAGAATGGCTAAATCGCACAGTCTACGCATAAAACGTCGGAAACTATGCCTTATTGTCGTTAGAAACAAGGTCTACAATCGCAAAATGTACATTGAAATATTTAAAAAGTTGTTTCCTCCATAAATTTGTTGTATCGAGTACCTTTTGCTAATGTACGTGAGATTTTATATGTCTAAGTCACAAATATTTAATACTAAAATTAAGGTCTAATTACGGTGACTTAATTCTCTTATACGGGTATAAATAAACCTAACTAAAAATAAAAATATTTTTATTCGCCTATAATCAAAATAGTTTAATGTAAAAACAGTATTTTTGTTATCCACCGATTATCCATTCCAATGTGCTAGAGCGTTTTGTCTATGGTTCATCTATGGTCAAGACGTACCGTGTTTAGTTCTGTGCGATTAGCTAAGAAAGCTTTTTACGTGAAAATAATATTTCATTCATATAATTATATATGTTGTAATGTATACATGTTGCACTCAGTTGCATTCACAATGCATTTTATAATCGCAAAACCTTTATTTATTTTGACATATTTTTGTTATAAAGATCTGAAATAAAAACATTTATTCGTATAATATTTGGTTTTCTTTACTCCAAATAGCTTATTTTTTACATACAATTAGTACTAGAATTAGATTATAAAAAAGAAATTCTATTCATATACAGACATTACATAATAATTATGTATCTTTCCAAATTAGAGTAAAAGAACTAAAATTTACTACTGGTAAAATTATACTGTTTAAGAATTAACAGAAGTTATCAATTTACATTTTCAATGAAAATATTGATAAAACAAAAATAACATAATTATATTGCTGAGATGTTATTCACGACAGAAAATATTTAACTAGAAATACTAACGTACCTATAACTAAAAACGATAGGAATATAGTTCTTACCAAAAATATCTAATAGCACCAATTTAGCAAGAGGTTAGATCAATCAGGAAATGAGAATAATCGAATTGTGTGAGTAGCTCTACCCTGTTGGACGAAAATACGAGAGGTCCTCACGCCCAGTAACAAAGGAATACAATACACAATAAAATGACCTTTATATTCTGTTTGCTCAAAGTCACCCTGTAGTCTACAGCTTTACAGAAACTAAAACGTAGTTCAGAAATATACTACGTTCATCATCATCATCAGCCTATAGGTGCCCACTGCTGAGCGAAGGCCTCTTCTCATACGGAGAAGGTTAGAGCATTAAATCACCACGCTTGCTCAACGTGGATTGGCGATTTCAAACTAATAATTAGAAATTATAAGTCCAGGTATCCTCACGATGGTTACCTTCACCGTATGTCAGTAGAGTCTAAATAATTATAGAATCATATACATATAACTTGGAAAAAGTCACATTGGTACTTGCCAGGTTTCGAACCCACACCCTCATGCATGAGAAGCGGACTCCTTAACCTCCGGGCCACCACGACGTTTTTAATACTACTATTTATACTACGTTACCCACTATTTAATTCAGCGCCCACCACGTGTTATGAAGTACTTCAGGAATATCAGCACTATCAGCATCAGCCTATAAGTGTGCACTGCTGAGCAAAAGCTACCACGCTTGCTCAAAGCAGATTTACGATTGCAGATACAATTTAATAAAATGCACAGATGGGGCCTAATAGGGCCGACAGCCGGGGTTGCGGGTCAAGCGCAATGCGGTACCGCAGCCTCCATGAGAAGGAACGGGGGTTTTTGTCAGTAATAGTCGGACACTCCCTCTCGCCATACCATGGATGAGAGAAGTTGGATAAGATACCCTCTACAAAAAAGTGTCCTCTGTTGCTGGAAAAAATATAATAAATAGGTCTTGATGAAATTGCCGTTTTGCATGAAAAAAATTTAACGAATTTTTTGATTTGAAATGCGATGAAAATGTAACACAAATCAATAAACAAATGACTACTTTTGGAAAAAGAATCCATGTTTTTAAAACAAAATTAATTAGCCTTAGCCTTACAAAAACTATTTTGATTTGAAATGGCCAGTACTGCAGAACGGCAATTTCATAGGTAAAGCTTTACCTATTATCAGTACTTGCTAGGTTCCTCGTGCATGAAAATCGATCTCCACAACGATAGACAAAGCAAATACATATTATGATGTACCTATTTTTTTAATATGTGTCTGACTCAATGAGGCGTTATTTTTTGCTGCTGCTGTAGCTAATTAGGTGAAAATATGAATATGGAGAAGTCAGAGAATCCGTAATAGCAGTGAATTATCCTCCCATAGTACAATCCAGTGGGTGGGCTTGGACGCCGTGATCTGTTTACATTACATTTTACATGGCAAAGAGAGTCACAAGTAGAGTACCTGAAGGTAAGCTACAGTCGTGGCCCATGGACTCAAGACAAGTTCTAAATACTTTGCCAGCCTTTGGCTTAGGTTATGGAATGGGGATAAGGAAAGGGGTTGTGCCTTCGTATTCTATTGGATTGAAGTATTTCATTTCAAACGCAAGTTATTATGTTTAAGATTAATTTATTAACTGACATACATAGGTATTTAAAATACACATGAAGAACAAAATCCACTTTCGCTCTTGAAACAAAACACATAAAGTGCATTTTTACAGATATTCAGACAATTAGGTTCACTTTTGTATAAACATACACTTTTACCTACAAAGATCTTTATTTTGACGATTTCAAACAATTTGTGGTCATTGTTGGCCAGAATACAATGCAGATGACGACTCAGTCAAAAACAAATGGTAGCTACAAATTATTAGAGTAGGTACTCTCGTAACCTAACAGATTTCAAACAATTTGTGGTCATTGTTGGCCAGAATACAATACAGAAAACAAATGGTAGCTACAAATTATTAGAGTACCTAAAAAAAAACGATACTGACCTTGATTAAATTAATATTAAACATAGGTACTTTTCCTATTTCTATCTATCTATTCAAGAGAAATAACTAGATATTATATTTTGATGGAAAATAATGAAATCAACATTTAGCTATCACCAAATTAAAAAAATCTGCAATCATGCATATTCTTATTGTATTTATTAATTAATACTTTAATTATTTTGTTGGGAACAGTCCATTGTGCTACGATTCCCGCGAAACAACTCTGTTTGATCCACGAATAGTTGTACGACGCAGGAGTAAATCCTAGTCTAGGACAACGTTTTTTTCCAAAGAACAATTAACTAATTTTGTATAAAGGTGTGTCAAAACATTAACTATCGTGAGACTTACACCCGGTTTCCGAAAGGCCGATCAATTTTAAAATCAATTTAATCTCTTGTCAAGTCATCTGATTGGTTGACTGAATTATCAACAACCAATCAGATACTTGAAAAGAGATTTAACAGGAGATTAGTTAATTTTAGCGTTGACAAGGCTTTCACAAACCGGGTGTTACTTAATTAATTGAAAGCAACGACTTCCGAATAAACTGAGAAAAGCCCTACAAGTCACAATGCGACTAATTTGGCTGTGCGACGTCACCGCGACGCGCACACTGCTAATGAATAAGAGCTTAGAGTCCCTTGATTTTTATGGCATACTGATTACCTGATGGTATCAGCGTCGCCCATCATAGACACCCGCAACACCAAAGGAGTTACGAGTGTGTTGCCAGCCTTTTAGGAATAATGGTCTCAGATATTTAGGGATTGGGAATGGATGAGGGGAGGGGGAGGCAATGGGACTCCGGTAACCTCACTCACACGGCGAAACACAACGCTGTGGTTGTTTCACGCCTGTTTTCTGTGAGGCCGTGGTATCACTCCGGTCGAGCCGACCCATTTGTGCCGTTTGACTCTTCCACACTTGTGTCTTCAAACTAGTAAAGCTTCTCGCAATTAATTCGCGTAAGTTGTTATTTACAATGAATTAAGTTGTGTAAGAATTCTGTTTAGCAAGGAAAGTTTCTCTACATATCTTCGTTCCACTCGACCAGTTGTTCCGGTTTCATTTCTTCATCCTGAACGTCTGCGTCAAGACTGGCGCTTAGGATGGAATTCGACAACTTGTACATGGGCAGGTCCGATGGTCTTATCACTAGTTTTGCACCGTCTGTGGAAAAATAACGATAGGATATGAAAGAGCGAAGTGATTCATACAAGCCTTATTTACGTAAAATGACTTCAATTACATTTTTTTATATAAAATATGATTTTTGTTTTGTCATATTTTTTTGTAATCTACTTTTCAAACTCCAGATAATTATTATAAACACATGCTGCTTTGAGAACCTTTTTAAATTATTTGATTTATAAGCCCCCATTGCTACCACATTGATATTTTAAGACACAACCTTGCCTATGTCAACCAGGATGATTTAAGAATTCCAACGATATGCTATATGTCTAATTCTGCCCTGGCGTTTGGAAGGTAGGTGGAGGAAAAAACGCCTTTTGTGGGCAATCATTTAAAAATACTTGGTTTTTTATATAAACAATTTTCACTATGGCAACTACCACTATAAATGATGGCAATAGGGATTATAATAGTGGAGAAAATTAGTATCTTCACTGTATTATGTAATACTCACTGAGAACAGTGCCATCCATGGCCATGATGGCGGCGTAGTGGGAGGGGGGCACGTCAAACCGCAGCAAGTTGTACATGCGCTCCGAGCGATTCATACGCCCCGCTTGGAACCGACGCAAGAATGGCGCCAACGTCTCCTTACCCGGGAGGAATGGCTCGCCGTATATCTGTAGAATATCATTTTATATTATTTCTTAATCATTACATAGTATAAAAAACCCCGACCCAAAAGCTCCCCTATTCTTAAATCTCCAAATCCCTAATCCCCAAAAGGTCGACAACGCACTGTTGTTGCGGGTGTACATTGGCGGCGCTGATTGCTTAGGTACCATCAGGTAATCCGTCTGCTCGTTTGCCGTCCTATCAACAGTAGTAGAGTATAGAAAGTGACAGAGATGGGGACAGTTTTATTTATAAAGATATGTAGGTAACATGCATTTATTATTAACATTGCACCCTAGCAAAGTCGGGGCGGGTCGCTCGCTAGTTTATTTATATAATAAACATTGTATTAATTTTGAAACAGTACTTCCTATGTGTTGCGTGTGCAAATATACAAACAATGGCATAGGCTTTACTCACCCGCAGTTTGTAGTAACCCGTCTTTTGTGGGATGAAGTGCTTGTTCACAACTTGCTTCACGATCTGTATACAGAAAAAACTAATTAAGTCTTTATGACATAGAGCGGAACAAAGGAGGAACAGACAAATCAACTGTGTGTGTCAATACGTCGTCATTATTCTGTGTCAGCCTATTTATTTTTAAAATGAACGATGTGTCATTGTCAAATAATGAGGAAAGGACCTAATATTGAGCCTTGTGGTACGCCCATAGATATGATAGCACCCAAAGATATCGCTATATTTACCTGAGCTACTTTGAGCCGCCTAGCCTTTTTTGGTCAGGGGAAAATCATCTAATGACTTCTCCTGTGACAACGGCTGGGCGTATTTATTGAGAAATATAAATTGAGATATGCCCCTCGAATACCGTAATGATCCATCTTTAGCAACAGTGTCTCGTGATCTACGCAATCGAAAGCCTTCGACAGATCACAAAATATTCAATAGTGTCTTGTGACTTCTCCCACGAGGCGAAATCAATGCTCCATTAGTTACGCTGGCATCAGCTTTGCATCGTCCCTTTTGGTCATGAAAGGTCGAATTCATGTTAAGTTGTCGTAGCATCTGAGAAATCATCAGCTTTTCAAACCCCTTAGCACTAGTAAAACAGAAACCGGCTTATAATTATTGTGTTATCGCCCGATTTAAACAGCGGAACTTCTTTACTATGCTACATCAAATTTGGAAAAACTTCCTGACCTAGACCTACACTTTGATTATAAATAAAATAAGACGCTATCCAAACCAATATTATAAATGCGAAAGTAACTCTGTCTGTCTGTCTTTTCTTCACGCCAAAACTATTGAACCTATTGTGTGGAATTTGGTACAGACATAGTTTGGAACTCGAGAAACGACAAAAGATATTTTCTAAACCAAACAATCTGCAGAAGTCACTATTCCACGAGAACAAAGTCGTGGGCAAAAGCTAGTAGATTCTAAGGAAGGCCTAGACACCTCTTTGAACGTCTTTATTACTGATTGGGGGTTCGTTAATACGTAATGGCGAGAAAAATTAAATCATAACAACACTCTTTGACATTTCTTTTGAGAAGGCCGATAAAAAGTGCCTATGATGTTTCCAAGTCTTTCGTAGTTTTGATTGGGATGCTTTTAAAAAAGTTTTCTTTTAAACTTCCAGATTTGCACTAATGCGTCCATTTTCTGTATTTAAATTAAATTCCGTGTTATAATACTTATTTTTGCCTGGCTCGTTATTAATTATCTTGAATGAAGCTTTTGTTTTCTTTTCATATTTCTTAATTTTCGGGATTAAGGAATAGGGGTATTTAGATTTTTACTTTGATTACATAATAATATGTGGCGACGCATATTGTAACGGCAATGTTCAACAGATGGTGTTACAAGTCTTCATGACGCAAGTGAAGTTTGCGAGCGAATAGACAAGGATAGAAGGATACAACTGTTGGACAGTAGCCCACCAGACTGACCACCCCGAGCGTACGGCAGGTAGCGTACCGCGCCTCTTTCGTCTTTACTCAGAAAGAGTCTGACAATCCCTCCAGCTCGGTTCTGGGCGGGGGAAGTAATTTGAAGACTTTCCCCCCACAAAAAAAAACCAGGCGGATCATCCATGAAATAAAACGCATCAAAATCGATTATACATACCATGGGCAAGAAAGGCGTCATCTTCTTGAGTTCCTCTCGAACCTTCTTTCTGACGACTTCATCCTCTGTGTCAGTCCCCACCACATTAGATTTGAGGTTCTTCACGTGTTCAGTGACCTGATAAACATATTTATTTTAAAGCATACAATCATATACAATTAATTACTGTTTTTTGTAGTCGTGGTAGCCCGGTGATTAAGGCACCCGCTTCTTGTGCACAGGGTGCTGTTTCCAAACCTGGCCAGTACCAATGTGACTTTTTCCGAGTTACATTTTCTTTCTATGATTATTTAGATAGCTTCACTAGAGGACAGACGGACAGACTGACACGCTTAATTTTAAAGCTCATATTATATACTTTTTTCCTTTTTTGCTTGCTTGACGTTCAAAAGTGCCTACTGTGGTCTAATTGAAATAAATGATTTTTGACTTTTGACTTTAGACACCACTAACATACGGTGAAAGTCAATATCGTGAGGAAATCTGGACTTATAATTACTAATTTCAAGTTTGAAATCGCCAATCGGCCTTGAACAAGCGTGGTGATTAATACTCAAACCGTAAGAGAAGAGGCCTTTGCTCAGCAGTGGGCACTTATAGGCGATGTGATGTACTAGTTACTTACGCGCGGTTTTACCCGATAATCGACTCTAGATAGCCAGTTGGGCCGGAGTGATACCACGGTTTCACAAACAACCGGCGTGAAGGAACGGTCCAGGAGAGATGGAGCACTTATAGGCTGATGATGGGATGTTGTGGTAGCAATAAACCAATTGTGAAAGTCAACAAAAAACATTTTTAGCATGAAAAGTGAGACTGAGTCTAGTTACAATAATTATATTTACCTTCTTTATAATCCTTTCTGAATATTTGTTGCAGGCTTGCTGCACTTTGTCGAACGGCAAGTTGTCAATCACTGCAAAAAAAATAAACATAGTCAAGTTTATTTTTATCGTTTTTCCATACAATAGAATTTAATATCACTACATAGTATAAAACAAAGTCGCTTTCTCTGTCCCTATGTATGCTTAAATCTTTAAAACTACGCAATTATATATTTTGATGAGCTTTTTAGTAGATAGAGTGATTGAAGAGGACGGTTTGTGTGTGTAATAACATCCATTAAATAGTGGAGAAATTTAGTATTAGCAATGATATTATAAGTAAAAAGGTGGATAGGTTACAAGCGCTCAGCAAGTGATACATTAAAATGTTAACTAGCCACACTTTTTCATATTTGTCTCTTTTTCACTCGCCATTAATGAATCATGCCATCCCACTTTAACGTGTATCATACGATTTTTTCATGTGTGCAAAGTGTGCCGTTTTTGAAAATCGAATGTTGTTAATGTAACCTATCTATACCGTTTTACTTATAATATCATTGAGTATGACCGGGTCGCCAGTAATATTATAAGTAACAAAATACTCACTGTAAGAATGTGAGGGTAGCTCAGCAAGTTCCTTTTCACTGAGTTGCGTGCGTGGGATCCCGGCGGCGTCTTGTAGCGGGTGTAGAGTACTCAGTACAAGTTGGAAGTCGCCGAAATGTGGATGCGTGCGACGGTAGCACTGGCTCAGCTTGAAACAAGACTCCAGTACCTCAGCGTTCCTCTCTCCTATCGTTTGGATGCGCTCGAACACTTTCTGTTGACAAATAAATAAAGTTTAGCGACTTTAGTGCAAGTGGCTAGTAGAACAAACTGATGTACTTTTGAAAAGATTAAAAAAAACTCAAGAAGATGGTACACATTATATTGCAGTAGATTATATGAATGTGTGCTTAGATGTATGTATTTATTTATATTATATGTATTAAAGTTCATATTAAATGTAATGAAATATGATTATATATTTATATATTATATTATCTTTATGTATGTAACTTGAATTGATTTAAACCTAAACATCCTGTAACTTCCAATATTTCTGCCGCACATCACCTACCACACATCTCTGCACTACCAAAAGAATAACTGGCAGGAGCATCTAGCATTAAGTCCTCCGATATGCAATTGTATAACTATAAAAAATAAATAACTAAAAGTATAATACCTTAGTCAACTCCTCCATGAGTTTATGGTTGGTTTTCTTGCTGATACTGTTCAGGCCTGGGTACTTACACTGCAGCTCCATCATAATCTCATCATTTGTCAGAGCCATGACCTGGAAATTGTTACCGTTTGTTGTTGCACCGTTTATTACAAGAAGTCTGTGTTTGGGTCTTACTACATATTATAAAACAATTTAGTTGCTTTCTCTGTCCCTATATCTCTATGTATTCTTAAATTTTTCAAACTATGCTACAGGTTTTGACACGGTTTTTATAAAAAGGAGAGTGATTGAAGAGGAAGGTTAATATGTGTAATAACATCCAGGTTATAAATGTGTTTGCCAAGCAACTGCAGCAAATGTTTTGCTTCAAAGTATTTTTGGGATTTTTGGAACAAATATTGCCATTTCACCTCCTTTAAGTTTTTGCTAGGTAGTACAACAGCCTATTGTATATTACTTTTTTATTTTTTATTATGAAATGATCAAATGATGCCTACATGGGGTGTAGGCAAAGAGTTTTTAATTAAATAAAAAAAGAAAAGATAAATGTTAATGTAAAGATTGAAAAATTTAATGATGTCAAGCAGACAGACAATGTTACCTTCTCTGGTTCCTTCTCATCAGATATAAGAAGTGCTCTTCGTAGCTTCGTAGGTATCTTCCTGGGTTTCACTGCTAGCGGAATCTGCAAGAGGAATATTTATTTTTATAGTGTCATTCACCGATAGACAATACAACCTGGTAATTGGGGTTACTATATATAATTGCAATAAATAATGTGATTGGTATCCCTTTCAAAAAATGGTGTTCCATCATCAGTGATTAAGAATTTAAAAATTGGTGACCAAAGTTGCCAGATACATTTCTTGTAAGTTTACTCTTTTCAGTAGGAGAAAAATGCGTAACTAATTGAAGCCCAGGTATGCTTAATCATAATAATAATTGGATCACCTCATTAAGATGCTGAGTTCAATATAAATTTGCAAACTTACGTCGGGAACATGATCAGGAATTAATGCGAACGGCCGGAACTGCTTTGGAAATACATTCGAGTTAATTTTCTCCACAACACGCACAGGGTCCAATTTTTCCGACAATCTTAAATAGCATGTCTTGTTTTTGCCAGCAGATTTTCCTTTCCCATTTTGAAAGTTTAGAGCTTCGAAATTACCAGCTATTGTTTTAGCCAGAATCTTCACAACATTCATAAGCGACCACTGAAAAGTAAAATTAAATTTAGATTGTGATATTAATGAAACGTAATAAGTAATGAAAAAAGAATTAGTAATTAATAGTTGTACTGAAATCAGAAGAAATGTAGAAGTAAATGGATGAAGATTCTTCGATCTTACCTTTTGTGGTACACCTTTGACGGCTATTATAGACATTGTATTTATAATATAAGTTATATTTACTTTTTTTATCCGTTATTTGCGGAAAACTAGAAAATATAACCTCTGAAATAAACAAATCTTTGAGCGTTTGCTAGCGACGTTTTGACAACTCAACTGATTGAGATTGAATTGTGATCAACTGAGTGAATAATGAACCAGTGACCACAGATAGTTTTAACTATTAAAAAATTGAAATAGAAATGAAAAAATATATAATATTGCCATTTTCCACAAAATAAGGTCACTAAGATGCTTAAGCTTTGTGTTATAAATAGTATTCTTTCTATTATCATCTCCAATAGTCACTTTTTCTTTTTCTAGGGTTGCAAACTTCCGAAACTTAGCCGCCGGAATTTTCTATAACAAATAATGAAATGTATATAAAGAAAAATTAAACATGATGTGTTGATCGAAGGGCGATTGCAGGCGACAGATAAGACCCACTTAGGTATACAAGCGCGTATAACATTTAGTTCTAACAATTAAAACACGATGTCATACCAAAAACTGTACTTTCCACGTGCCCAGTCTCAGTTGCAGTTTTGTGGTAGGAGGGTAACTAAGCATAATGCTTAAATTTAAAAATGTTTTATTCCACACAATTTCTTTACGTATTACTGTTACGTAGGTTTATATTGGGTGATATGGGATATTATTATCCTGTACTGCTTATCTACGTTTAATTTCCTTTCATCGGCATCATCAACGAAGACAGCCCTATAGTGAGCACCCGGCCTCTGGGTGCTCATTGAGGGGCGCGCGGAGCGCTATGCTCCGTACGCTCGGGTCTGGTTCTGGTCGGGCGTCGAGCTACCCTTACCCTTGCTCGCCGTCCGCAGACCCTTGCTTACGATCCCCGGAGTGTCGCCTGCTGCGGCGGCTGGGCTGTGAGGAGGAGGATTGCTCCCTCACGCGGTTCGCCTCCTCTTTACATGCGTAACTGTTCACAGAAGGAGGAGATGGCGTCCCAGTTCCTCTCGCTCCGCACCATGATGGCCTCGACTAAGGCCGGGTGTGAGAGGTCGCCGCCGTCGATAACTTCCTTCAGAATAGCGCGGTGCGCAGCCCAGGCAGACTTTTCGACTTTTTATGTAGGTAGTTACGAGTTGAGATGAATAGGATAAGTAAATAAAAGGTTCATGATGTAATTTGTATTAAAGTATATATATTTTTTTTATTAAAACTAAATCAAATTCTAACAAGCAAAGATTAAAATTATGAATATTGCAGTAGAAAAAAATCTTAAAGTAAAAAAATATAAAAAATATGTATAGGTACAAATTACCTAATAATAACATAATTGATTAAATCAATGCACTTCTAGTCACAAAATAATGTCAGAAAATAAAGAAATATCTAGCATAAAATAATAATAATTGTAAGTATAAGTATGGTAAAAATATGTAAGAAAACAATTGTTCCCACCCAATTAACTTGGGATAAAGGACATAATCCTTTGAGAAAATGAACATAGTTAAAAAATATAACAATTTCTAATAGTAACATGATTAATTAAATCAATAATAATATAATATGAAGTCACAAAATAAAAAATAATTTAATATAGCATAAGCATTTAACAAAATAAAAATAAAGTATTTGCAAAGGCTTTCATGATTATAAAAATATATAAATCAAATCTGTATAGAAAATTTTGTAAAAAAGTTCATGTCTAATGTTTTAACAAGGAGAGGATGTCTTGTTATCATATTTGTGGCGGTCCAAAGGAGTAATATCATGGATACTTTTACAGGATTTCTCAGCCCAAAGCAAAAACTCCTTCGTAGCCACCACACACTCCATGAGCATAAAGCAATCATCTTCAGCTCTATGGGCATTGTACACCTCCTTTTTCACTATCCTTTTATAAAGTTCAACTAGTGCATAACTTATTTTTTCATTTCCCTTTTCAACATTCTTTGGTTGCACCTTTGATTCATCAGAATTGCTACTTGACTTGTTAGCATCTATAGGCATTTCTGAGAAAGAGGAACATAGAGAATCAATCTCTTTCCAGTCATCTACACTTACATCTAAATCAGGCCAATCTTCACTTATCAATGAATCTTCACTTATTAATGAATTATTATCTCTAGCTAACGAGTCCTCTTCCAACATTGAGTCATCTTTTGTAGAGCTACTTTTCGTTGTTGCATCATCTTTTTTCACAGTCGAAGGAACTATGTTACTATTTTTAGTTATCTGTCGAAATCCAGTCAGAGAATCAACACAAAGTAAGTCATGTGGCAGTGTAGCATTAGCATCTAAGAATTCTGCCAAGAGAATTTTATAATCAAAGCGGTCGCCGTTATGGGCAACCAGACATATAGGCTTAGGAAGTGATGATAAGTATGAAACAATTGTGTGCACATATTCTTGGAAAATTGGAGCATTCTTCAACAAATCATTGGACAAGCCAGTAATTTTCTCCGCTATTGGATTGATCTTTTTCTGCGGATTTATAAGTAGAGTTAACTTACTTACTGGCGGTATGATAGCAAACGCACCTCGTTTCATATGTTCTCGCAAAACTGCTACGAAACATAATTCAGTAATCTTCGTTTTATTTCTCTCCTCGTGTGGCAAACCTGTAGTTTCAATGTCGAAGAACACGTACGTCTCTATTTTAGTCATTGTGATAAAAGTTTGAGCTGGTGTTAGTTGGAAATGGAAATGTCGGAGCAACCGGCGAATTTTGCAGGTTGTAGTGTTTATTGTTGAGGTTGCATAGCACTAGTGAAAAGCTCTTTGGTACATTGCTAGGCAACTAACTGTTAGAAAAATTTAATGTCACTCGTGAATAAAAAGAAGATCATGTCGAATGTGTGCAATATATAAAACTAAATAAATAAACAAATAATCTAAATATTTTGTAACCAAATAAACCTAAATTATCGCTATAAAGTGTCAGTGTTGTCATACTAGAGAAAACCCCTACTATCTAGCCGAAATCTAAAGTGGGAAATACATCGATCACGATTTGGTCTCCGGAGCTTCCAGATTGGTAAGAAAAAGTAGACCACGTTTAATAGGTTGAAGGGTGTGATACTACGTAGGTACACTCCTTCACAGAGTAGCTCTTGGAAGAAAAATTCATAAAGATATATTATAGGATATTAGTAAAAAACACTTGGCAGAACACATATTTATTACTTGACGTTCTCTTGTCAACTCAAAAAAAGAAAATTCAAAATACTATCATAAAATGCATAGAGATTAAAAAAAGGTCGCAATACTCTTGCTCTTTTTGTTGACATCTTGAACAATATTAATTCCCAGCATTAACTCAGCTTTGCCGAGATCTTTCATATCAAATCTAGACTTCAACTCTTCTTTGAATTTGAACATCTCTTGCTTATTGTTCCAAAATATCAAAATGTCATCTACATACACAGCAATAATCATTATGTTTCCATTCTGTGACCGGGTGTAAACGCATGGCTCATTTTCAGATCTTCTGAACTTCAGTCTTATAAGTTCAGAGTGAAGCTTTGCGTTCCACGCTCGTGGCGCTTGTTTCAGTCCATACAAAGATTTTTTTAGAAGACAGACATAATTCTCCTTGCCCTTTACCTCGAACCCCTCTGGTTGCTTCATATAGACGATTTCATTTAAGTCTCCATTCAAAAATGCCGTTTTAACGTCCATTTGATCTATGCCTAACTCTAAACGGGCGGCTAAGGCTATTAAGACTCTTAATGAGCTATGTCTGACTACAGGCGAAAAAGTTTCAAAGTAGTCGACTCCTCTCCGTTGGCTGAATCCTCTTGCTACAAGTCGTGCCTTATAACGAGTCTTTCCCCCCGCCTCTTCTTTAATTCGAAATAACCATTTCGAATCAACAATGTTGCACGACTTTGGCTGCTTCACCAACGTCCAAGTTTTATTCTTCTCGAGGGCTCTCAGCTCCTCCCCAATTGCGGCTTTCCATTTGTCTCCATCTTCTCTAGATAATGCATCCTGAACAGTTAAAGGGTCTGGCGATGCCTTGACTGCTTTGTAAGTTACAAAATCTGGATATGCTTTTGGTATTCTTTCTCGAAGCGGATATCTTCTATCTGATGGCCCATTGTCATTTACTGGTAGCTCTCTACCTTCTTCTACAAGACCATCCTCAGGATCTGCTTCATTCCCCTCGTCAGATGATTCCCAAACCTCATCTTCAACCTCAACATTCTCAAGAGCTGGATTTCCAGGTTCTTCAGGAATTTCTGGCTCTTCATGATGAGTTGAAACTCTATCATACTCAACCGTAACATCCGTCAGCGGTAGCGGGACGGCTTGATTAACGGGAGCACGTAGCTGTACTTTTGAGTTTTCAAAAAATATAACATCTCTACCTCTGTGCAACACTCCTGTCGTAGGGTTAATAAGGCGATAACCGTTTTCGCCATATCCAACATGGACTAACTCTGTGCCCTTAGGATCCCATTTTGTGCGCTTCTGATCTGGAACATGAAGATAAGCTTTACATCCAAACACTCTGAGGTGGCTTAAGTTCACTTTTCTTCCAGTCCAAGCTTCTTCGGGCGTTTTGTTTCTCAAGGCTTTAGTTGGAGACCTATTTTTTAAATACACGGCGGTGTTGACTGCCTCTGCCCACAATTTTCTGCCTAAACCAGCTTCTTCTAACATTGTCCTGGCTTTTTCAGTGATAGTTCTGTTAGCTCGCTCAGCAACTCCGTTTTGTTCGGGTGTATACTCTATTGTCAGTTGGTGACAGATCCCTTTTGCTTTACAGAACTCATCCATACGCTTATTGACAAACTCTTTGCCATTATCAGATCTGATAATTTTAAATTTCTTTCCAGTTTGACGTTCAGTAAGTTTTACGAATTCGGCAAACTTCTCAAAGACCTCTCCTTTACTTTTCAAGAAATATACAAATGTTTTTCTAGTGAAATCATCAATGAATGTGAGAAAATATCGTGAGCCTCCGTACGACTTCTCTCTCATGGGTCCGCACACGTCTGTGTGGACTAACCCTAAGACCTCACTTGCCCTAGTGGCACCAGTTTTCTTGAAAGGGTTCTTGGTCTGTTTTCCTACTGCACACGCTTCGCACTCTAGCTTAGAAGCAGTATTAGAAAAACTTACCCCATCTGCCATTTTGTTTTTAAGTAACATTAGGTTCCGTACCCCTAGATGTCCCATTCGCCTATGCCACAATATTATTTCGTCAGCAGCGGTTGAAGCTAGACCTACTTCCTGTGAACAATACTGTATTTTATAGACACCGTTATTTGCAGTACCTTCATACAAGGTCTCCCCGGAAACCTTACATCCATCTGCTTTGATTATCTTAAAGCCAGATTTCTCAAATACAACTACAAGGTTTTTATTTACAATTGTGCTAACACTGAGTAAATTTGTAGCTAAGTTAGGTACATACAAAACATTATTAATTGAGACGTCCATATCCTCGTTGACTACATTACCAATTGCTTCACCAACCACAGTTTCTCCATTTGCACAAGCTATTACAATTGATTTGTCTAATTTCTTAAAGTCTTTAAGCCAATCTCTCCGATTTGTCATGTGGTTAGAAGCTCCGGAGTCGAGAATCCATTCTCCATGTCCTTGTGCTGCTGTTGCTAACGCTAATGAGGTTAAGGCATCCTTCTTTTGAATAGGGTTTTTCGGACAATCCTTAGCCTTATGGTTCTCTTTGCATATGAAGCACTTAACGACACGTGATCTACTCATATTCTTGTGTGACTTATCTTTCTGACTTTTATTTTTAGCTTGTAATGCGGTTGTCACGGTACTAGGACTTGCTTGATAAGTATCCTCCATCTGAAGTAATTTCGTTTTGACGTAATCTGTAGTCAATTCTATGTTTGTGTTTTCTATTGCTAACCTCATGGGTTGGAAAGTCTCTGTCAACCCCTGTAGCATCAACGCTGCAAGTAATTCATCATCTACCTTTTTGCCCAGATCACGTAGCTGTTGCGCTACTGTCATTATGGCAGTTATGTAGTCTCTGATTGAAGAAAATTGCTCTAGTTTCAGGCTCACCAACTTTGTAAGAAGTCTGCATCGATTATTCAGGCCCTTGTCTTCAAAGGCAGTCTTCAGGGCATCCCATGCCGCTTTTGCAGTCTTCGATTCACGTACGTGTATCAAACAATGTGGTTTAATCATTAAACAGATTTTTGCCCTCGCTTTCTGATCTCTTTTAGAGCCGGAAACATCACTAGCAGCTGGTGTTGTTTGAGTGTATTCCCACAAGTCTTCATGAATTAGATAAAGTTCCATCATGAACTTCCATGTATTATAATCAGTACTACCATCAAGTTTCTCTATTGCTGGTAAACTCATACTTACTCCTTGGGATGGATACGATTGTGATTGTATATGCGTACCATTGCCGCTGCTCCCAGAGTTTTTCATGATCGTACTTTCTATTTCCGCTGGGCCCATAACCTGAAGGAGTGTGATACTACGTAGGTACACTCCTTCACAGAGTAGCTCTTGGAAGAAAAATTCATAAAGATATATTATAGGATATTAGTAAAAACACACTTGGCAGAACACATATTTATTACTTGACGTTCTCTTGTCAACTCAAAAAAAGAAAATTCAAAATACTATCATAAAATGCATAGAGATTAAAAAAAGGTCGCAATACTCTTGCTCTAACACTTTCGTAAGATTCCAAACGGGAGATAAATTGTAATATTTTACGTCCACATTTTCGTTTAGTCTGGGTTGAATTTGTAATATTCGCATGAATGCGAATATAACAAATGCCACCAGAGATGCTTTAATGGTCACAATAAAAACTTATTTCTAATTGACATAACAATTTGATTGATTGTGTATTGTCATCTTGTTAGCTTACGTAATAAATAAGTCAATGTGTACATGTCGTTATTGTAGATATAAAACTGAATTATGACTTTAAATGCAAACAAGTTTGAATCTAATTATTCTCGTCCGTCCAATACAGCCCAAAGAGGAGTAGAAGCGAAAGAACACGAGTTAGTCAACACAAACTTGGGTAATACGTGTCACGATTCTACATTTTAGGTATACACAAACTAGATACTCTCGCGCGGTTTCACCCGCTGCTCGGCTCCATTTAATGTAGTGTGATGTTTTATAGCCTATAGCACTCAGGAATATTGTAGCTCAGCATCAGTGAAAGAATTTTGGAAATCCGACCAGCGGTTCCAATTATTACTCCCTACATACAAACTTACAAGTTTTACCTCTTTATAATATTAGTATAGATATACACACTTTTGTAGATGGAAAATCAACCAGCCATATCAAGAAACATACAATGTTGCAACATGTGTGACAGGGTATTATAGATACTACTGGTTTGCTTATTATCAAACATGAAACCGTGCCGACTTCTTCTGTTGCCTGTGAGTGCGCGAGAGGTAGTTTCGTAAGAGTTGACGGACTAAAATCCACCCCGTTCATTCTCCTGCTCCTGGCATGGCATAGATATGTTGAAAGTTGATATTATATGTGTAAAACAAAAAAATATCAACTTCCGTATTATTTAATGTATGTTTCAAGACATTACAATAGGTAGTCAAATATAATTAATTTAGTTTAGGTACCTATAATTAATTTCTAGGTAATTGTGATTACTTTTTTGAAGAAAATGTATGGTTCTTTCGGCAAATGTGTGTGTTATTAAAAACTTGACATCTATAGCTCTGTTCTTTCCAGTTTACAGTATTTATAATATTATGTAGAA